CCTTCCTGCTCCTCTGCCCATCACAAGCCTCAGACCTCAGACTGTGGTTTTGTTCCTCTCTGAAATCAGTCCCAGCCTATTTAATATGCACATTCCATTCCAGTGGATTTATCAGTTAGCCAATATTTGCTCTGCTCCTAATCACTGAGGCCAAGTATGAGGCGTCCGAAGTGACCCCAGGCGGGAGGAACGCCGCGGTCGGCGGCCTCCAATCACTGCAGACGCCACCGACTGTCGTTTTGCTGGGAAACTCACAAAATCTCCCCTTATCTGCTCCCATCTGTCTGTCAGTGGTATAGAGGCAGACTATCTTAACTACTATCATAAATTAGGTGGTCATGAGTTTGGTTGTCGTGATTAAAAGCTTTTTGTGTGTGTGTAACATGCGTAGGCCACTATGTCTCCAGGTTATACATGTGGGAGTTATGGCCAGCCGTTAGCAGTCAGGAAAGCACCCAGCATCAGACGTGCCACTGTTCCTCCCCTCCCCTGGCACTGATACACCTGTAGGCCTTTCTTTCAAAGACACCCGTCTCCATTTTCAAACATCAAAGTTGCCTTTGAGAGAGCAATTCGCACTGAGGGTGAGCCTTTCATGTGATTTGTGGAGCATGGGTGTGGCCCGCAGGGGGCGACTTAAAGAGATGGACGCACCTGGCAGGTGTATGTGCCGAGCACCCGCACACGCAAATGCATACGCAACATCATCTTTTTTGTTTACTCGCAGAGAGACTGCAATATCACAGGGAAAAAGAACACAGCAAAAGTCATTGTTTGTCTATTTGCATACTTTGTACAGTCTGTGTGCCAAATGCAAATAGAATCAACCTGCCAACTCCAACATGCACCCCCGCCGCCCACGTCTCACCCCCCCACGCCCGCCATTCTCCTCCTGGAGTTGTGCGAACACACCCAGCAGAGTAAATAGAGGCAACAAAACACGACAGCACTTGATTTTGGTGGTTGTGTGGGCCTGTGGGTGGGTCGGTGTGTGAGCTCCGTCTGAATGTATGCAGGCATTGCATGTACACTGTTAATTGTGTTAGGGTGTATCCATGTGTATCATTTTCATGTCTCATTCGACAAATGACCTCTCTGACCTCACTACAACAGGCCTCCACATCTTCAGTCAGCAAACAACTCTCTCTCCTCTCTGTTGCCTTAACATCCTTAATCCTCCAAAACTTCTGAGTGGGAACAAAAAAGGGCTTTTTGATTTTCATTTTTAGGTAAATAATTGAATAAATACCAGAACTATTTGCACATTTGCTCGAATAGTGGAATTAACTTTCAACTGGATACAAAAAATGGCTTTGAGATTGCACAATGACATTTATCCATCAGCGTCACACACTCAAGCTTTAGGTTTTGATTTTCACACACAGATAGCAGCTTATAGACAATCAAGTTTCAATATCATTCATCCACACATTTCATTTACACCCTCCCAGTTGTTGTATGACTTATCTACACATCTGTAAATGATATCTCCATTTTTACAAACTTTTCTTTTTGAACTTTTCTTAAAATAATGTACTGCTAATAATTTCTTGAGGCTCTAAAAAAAGGGAACACAAGGCCCCAACACTGAGAAATGATTTTGCTAGCACAAAATATTTCAGACCTTTTTAAAATCTCTCTGGCCTAACCTGACCTGCGGTGACTTCATCTTTTCTTCCCGGGGACCGATTCATTTCAGGTCGTGAGTTACGGAAATAAAAACAGCCCCTCCCCCATGTTGGGTAAATATGCAGCGGCTGATGTCATATGCAAGTGAGGGAGTGAGAAGAGCACCAAAAATACAGTTGTGAGATTAATTGGTGAGAATATAACCCTGCAGGGTGCTCTAAGTGTGTGGGGAGGCATCTGATAACAGCGACAAAAAGGGAGGCTCTCGACACTTAAGTCATCTGCTTTTTTCTTTTTCTGTCTTTTTAGCTCAGCGTGCGCTCTTGTTGGATGTGGTGTATTGTTGAAGCTGCTGCACAGACAGGAGACAGGCAACAGTTGTGCTTCCAGTTTGGCTTCAGCAGAAGTTCGATAATATAGTATGACAGACACATCAGGGGGTTGGGGAGGCAGGGTTGGGCGACAAATGCCGGATGTGTGATGAGGAAATCAGCAGCAAGGGAGACAAAAATACTTAGCTGAACATTAAGCCTACTTTCTGTTCAGGAACTAAATGCAGTCTGTGTACCTTTTATATGTATGTGGGCATGCAGAAATACACAAGTGTACACATCGGTAGCCATGTGTGTATCCATCTGACATCTCATGTGTTTTAAGAATGCACAGTGTCCTTTGTTACTTTGCCGCTGGCTGGCAGCCACTGCAGTCCTGTTCGTCAGGTTCTCCTGACTGGATCAGTAAACATTAATAAAAACCTCCTCTCTCTGTGCCAACTCCTGCCGCGGCTCGGCTGGCAGCCATGCCAATAAGGGCCCTACACAAACAGCCCGTAAGGCCCCGGCCCGCCAGCATGCGGACAGGTGAGCACAGCGCGGCCAAGTCTGGGCTGCAGCCTGTCTGCACTCCATCAATGATGAAGCCCAGTCGCACTGGCATCATTGTGTGGCATTACTGAAAAAAAGATATACTGCCATCAAAGCAGCGTCAGAATGTATAACCGTCTCTGAGGATGAGATTTGTAATGACATTTTTTTATTAGTTTTATGTGTTGGCAAAAGTGCTTCTCTGCTTTGGCTCTAAACGCTGTAGTGCCAATATAATGTGGTGCCTTGTGGTTAGGGAGGAATCCGATTATTATTATGGCCCTAATAATGTCTGAATAGTAGTGTGTGTTTTCCTGCGCTTTGACTGCACCGGAACACGAATGATATTACTCTCTTAAAATGTGCTTCTTGTTTTAATATGAGAGGTCCTTTATCTTGCTCGCAAGTGATTTCTATTTTCAGGCTACCAGTCCTTCATACACCGAATTGGACTGGAGGCTCCTCCTAACCCTAACAGCTTGTATCATTCTAATGAACAATATAAATGTGTTGGGTTTCAAAAAGCTTATTCTATCAACTGTGATCCATATGTATATCTGGTTTAACTGCAGTGTAGCTGGATGCATTATTCATATCTCAGACTCAGTATTTCAGCATTTACACCAATTAAACCATCAATGTTACCAGGGGGTTAAGCTGAAGGAGGTTCAACTTGGTACATATCCAAATCATCCACAGATGCTTTTTTCTTTTTAAATCAGCCTTCACCAAAGTTTATTTTCTGTCATCCTATGAATCCCCTCTCAGCACCGTGTGACAGAGTTTAATGGAGCCCTAAATTCCTCCTGCCCTATATTAAACAGTGTCACTTTATAGCAGCCAGCGCCAGTGTAAAAGTAGCACGGCCACTCTGACGCCTCAGCTGGAGCCGTAACACGCTGACAGACAGACGGGAGACGACCTTAATGTACGCAGTTATTTCAAGCTGAGACACTCGCAGATGCACATGAGAATGTGCTTATGCACAGACACACACGATAAGCTCCTTTTTTTTCTTTCAACAAAGAAAGATCAAATTGAAACCATCCACACACACACATACAGTGTTTATAATTATCTCCCTCTTTTGCCGTCACTCTTCTCTTTAATAACTCTGCAAATAGCGTCCAGTTGATGCCCCTCTCGCTGTGCCCCTCAGCTCCCTCCCTGCCAGCCTTATCCCCCCCTCATGTTGCACTTGCTGCCACTCTATCTTCCCCTGCTGTGGTCCGTTTTGCCTGGGCTAAATGCACCCCTTCCCAAATAATTGACATGACCACAAACCACACTTATCCACATGTTCAGAAACCCCTAGAACTTCTCCAACATGACACCTTCATAGGTAGATCATGAAATGCCCATCTCGTCTAACGTACTGTGAGTAAAGGGCATACATAGCCCCTGACTCATGGACTCATGTAGAAGTAACACTCTCCCCCCCCACTCACACCAGCAGCATCAAACCACATGAGAATGTATCTGCGGCTGAACGGTGGCGCTAACAACTTGAGCCTCCCTGCCAGGCCTAACAGCGCCTGAAGTCTGCCCTGTGTTAAATCAACGAGCCACTTATGTGGTCAGCCAGGTACGACCCCTTTGACCAGCAACTGGGGAAGTTGGGGGGGGTGGGTGGGGGTGGTGGTCGTCTGAGCTGAGCCACCTGCGGCTTGGAGACTCACTCAGCTCCTTAGTGGTCTTTGGGTAGGCCTTAATGTGCTTTACAGTTTCCTCTGACTGGGCCCGCCCCTGTGCCCCTGCTGCACGCGTGCGTGCGTACACACACGTACACACACACACACACACACACACACACACACACACACACACACACACACACACACACACACACACACACACACACACACACACACACACACACACACACACACACACACACACACACACACACACACACACACACACACACACACACACACACACACACACACACACACACACACACACACACACACACACACACACACACACACACACACACACACACACACACACACACACACACACACACACACACACCACTGCACTTGTGAGGACGATGTTCAAACCTACATTCATTATCTGTAGGCTTACCATAACCGCCAACCTCCTTAACCTAGTCTTAATTCTAATCTCAACCCCAAAACCAGGTCTTAACCCCAAAATATATTCAGTGGAAACCGAGTTTTGGCACATGTGAGGTGTGAACTGATTTTTTTACCTCCACTATGTGACACTATCAGACATGCTCACAGAGTTAGATTTACATTTATCATCTGCACATGACTCATTCGGCTCTTTTAGCATGAAGAGACACCGATACCCCACACCCCCAATAGCTGCTTTTAACCGGGTGGCATGGAGCACCAAATCACACCACAATGCTTTATTAGTACCAACAATAGTAGCGTTGCAGTGTGTGTGTGTGTGTGTGTGTGTGTGTGTGTGTGTGTGTGTGTGTGTGTGTGTGTGTGTGTGTGTGTGTGGGGGGGGGGGGGGGGGTGTACTCACTGCGCGGTTCTCGGGGTCCATCCACGGTGACTTTGATGGCGCGGTGGTAGGTGGCCACTTGCGGCGGTCCGGTGAACACGGTGATGGTCAGAGTGAAGCTCTTCCCTGCAGCACAGCAACAACATGTCCGTGAGATTTATGGAACTCGTTTCACTGTATAAATGGCCCTTAACAATGATCTATTCCTCTGTTGTGCGCAACAATACATGGCTTGTTCAACTTCAAATCATCACTGGCTTTTATCCCGCTACAGCCTTTGAATTAAGGATTTTTTTTTTTAAAGCAGGGGACCACCTCTTTTGATGGCCTGACTGCGGGTATGATTTTGATTATTGAGACAATGTGTTCCAGATTGCACGAAAGGCTTTACAGCCATAGTTTATCGTTCAACAAGGCAGGATCTTGCTCCCATCTGCATCAGAGCGTCCGGCCTGAGAAAGGCAGCTCTTGTTAAAAAAAAAAAGAGACTGCGTGGGAGGAAAGAAGAAAAAAAGAATCCTCGGGTGGGGTAATTGACTACACAAATGAAAGCTATAAACCACTTGTTTAATTTGACTAGAACTATTTCCTTTTCATCAAATCATAGCTTTTTTAACATTACGATAAAATACAAACGGCCTAGAAGAGGCTCTGAAGGGACAGAGGAAAATCCCTTCTTAAGATTTTTGTGAACAATCACTCTGTATTTTTTATTTCAGGACATTTAATTATTTATGCCTGAGAAAATGAGGCTTTGATTTAGTCAATAAGGCACAAAAAAAAATGTTCAACAGCCCTATGCATTAACCACAACATCCCATGTTAATGTGTGATTTCTTTTTTTTATTGCAGCTATTAAACCCACGATAAATTGGCCTACTGCGTATTAGGCTAAGCTTTTTGTTGCCAGGGATTATTTGACAAATTGTCCCAGGGCATGCATTTCGAGGAGGGTTTTCCATCCATCCCTCGGATAAACACCACGTTGATAATTATATATATATTCCCCTGGATTATGAAAAATACAGTCACATCGCCTCTGTTCATCGTGCAGGCCAGATGTTCTGGATGACACCTGCGGAGGTCAGTTGGCGAAGTGTTGGCACATAAATGATTCCAGATCTGCTTTTTATAATTTTTGTAATAGACAACAGAGATCAGTCAAATAATATAAAAGCTATTCATAGAAGGACTAAGCAGTTCGGTCTGTACAACATAACTTGACCTAATATTTTTCCATATTTGAAAAGAAAATGAAGTTATCACTCGATCTCCTCTTAAACCCAGAAATGTCATTTTATTATAATTATTAGCGCGTTTCCAAATGTTGCTGCACATGGCATTACAAACAGTCCTCTCGCTATGTGTGCCGGCCTGTGTGTGTGTGTGTGTGTGTGTGTGTGTGTGTGTGTGTGTGTGTGTGTGTGTGTGTGTGTTGTGTGTTGTGTGTATGTGTGTGTAGCCTACTGTAGGAGAGAGAATTTCAGCTCACCTCGTCCGCTCCTGCCCACAAAGCGCAGGTCGTTGAAACGGGCCACCTGGTTCTTCATCGCGGCGGAGGCGTTCCTCAGCTCAGCCGAAAAGTTCTCGTCGTTCCCGGCCATCACGGTGACCAGAGTCCCGTCGGGGACATCACCGAGAGCCACGATCTGTACCGGGTAAAACGACCGGTCACTCTGGGTCACCAAACGAAATATAGGCTGCACAATGCACGCGTAAAACCGCATCTGACTTCCATAATATAAGGAATAGTTTTACAATTTTGCCAGCATGTCAACAATTTAAATATAACACATAATGTAAAGACTCCAATCCAATGTAGATTAGTGGCATTTATATATTTATGTTATAAACACGAGTGCCATGATACATATTTTCTTTGTGTTGTCATCGGATCTGATCCAAATACAACATTTGACAATGCGATGCATAATACTGACACAAGCTTCAGATATTTGCATATAAATTATATAAAATAGATAAACATAATAGGCCTACAGGAAAATAAATAATAATACAAAATAGATCTAAATATTTCCTCAGACTAATACAGACCTATCATCTACAATATTTACAAGGGATTCGATGGAGCCGAGGCCAAGCCAAGCGTTTTTTAAGGCTTAATTTTAACAATTTAATATCCTACTTTAACCACAATGCGAAAACCAAACAACAGAACGTGCAGGTCACTGTTATTGATCAAATAAAAGCTTTTAAGAACCCTATAATCAATGTGTTTGGTCTTGATTAATTATCTTACAGCATTTTCTTATGCTCTTCCTACAGTCAGAAAACCAAAGTGTGCGTCATTAAAATAAAACCAGAAAAAGTAAAACCAGAACACATGGGTCTTGCCTTGAAAGCCACGGGCAGTGTCTTGTTGCACCTCCAGTGGGACGGGAGCACGGAGCAGAGGAAATTAGGGCTGTCGGTCCGGACCAGCTCTCCGGCGTGGTCCGCCAGCACGTCCACCACGTTCCTGCTGTCCGATCGTGACCTGTGGGGCCCCGGGGTGGCCATGGCCCCGTTGCCGTCTCCGACCTTACTGCAGGGGAAGGACGTGGAGGGCGGCGGGAACCGTCTGGTGGTGGGCGAATCTGGAATATGCATCACAACAGCGTGGGTCAGTGCCACCTGACTGGCTCTGTATGAGAAGCTTTTCTAATAGTTTTTCCTCCAGACGCTGGTGGTCTCAGGAGTCCACGGTGGGAGCGCAGGGGATGGAGCCGAGCGCACTAAGTGAAGAGAGCCTCGCTACCTTAACAGAAACAATACACTGCGGTGACTGTGAGATAGATCATCTGCACAGGATGTGTCAGCCCAAGGAACATCAGGGTTGCTCTGTTATTTCACTAACTTCAGCAAAAACACGTACAAACAAAGTCTCTCAGTGCGCAACTTATCGGCGCTCTTATCTGTCGCACGCTTGGTGGACAGACAGTTTCAGCCGCGTGTACACAATGTATCAACACCACAAACTACCCGAGCTCTCACTTTGAAACCTCAAATGAGTCAACGGATCTTCTACATAAGTTATCACCGATCAATGACAATCTGTTGACAGCAACCAGGTAATCCAGCCGCGGTGCGGAAAGTGAGAAACCGAGCTGACTGGCTTGAGTTTTTAAAACAATGATCTCGACTGAACAGCCAGACGCCTCTTCAGAGACTCCAAACTAAATGTCTCAAACCCGAGTATCAACAGTCAAACTACTGTAGCACATTAGTGTCCTTTTTCTTGCGTTAAAGTTCTCGCAAACTTTGTCCTCGCTGGATCCCTTCTCCACAAAAACACAGCGTGATTCTGGTACAGAGAAGCTCCAGCGGAATCTCCTTTAAGGTTATCCTTTAGCGCAGGGTTATAGGGCGCGAGAAGGATCCGTGAGGCTGATCGCAGAGCAGAGTGCCGCGATATTATTTTACCCGAGTCATTTTAGTGTTTAGTGGTTGGGAGTGTGGAGATGATTTCCACCAATGAATGTACAGGGTTGGGCTTTCAGCAGACCAATCACACGCTGCGCTGCTCCTTCCTCTGCCCTGCACTGCTGTCACACACGAGCTGAATTATTGATACATATCTGTGCTTTTCTCTGCTGCTTGGGTTTTTTATACAGCATATAGACACGTTGAATCGATGCATATAGAAATGATGAGAGTTTAAAGAAGCGACACGTGGTATTAACTGAGCTGCGAGAACACACATTCATATTTCAAATGATATCCAGTGACAGGAGCCCAAATGGAAAGAGGTGTAAGCTTTTTAATTGGGTAACATATTGAATGGGATGGATTATAACATGGGTTATAGATTATATTGGTTAATTACAAATCAGCCTCTGTGCTGTTAGGAAATATCTGCATTACATGGACTCAGTTTAATTTATGAAATAACATGAAATATATGCTTTCCTGTCACACTGCATTGTCCCAGAAACGTCTTTGACCTATTTCACTTGGGCGTTTTTTTAATATATCTAGAGAAGGATGTAGACTGCAGATGCCTGTGGTTTTACTCTCGTTTATTCAATTTGAAAAGCCATTATATCTGGAGGTTCTGCAGCTCCTCTTCAGGTAGGTAAATAACGTGTTCATAAAGTGAAATTATGGGTGGAAGGCAGATCTGTATCACTTTAATTGACTGAACTGAATTAATGGAGATGATTAAAGCAAACAGGCAAATGTGCTTCTTCCACATAACAAAAACACAACAGTACGTGTGCGTGTGTGTGCGCGTGCGTGCGTGCGCAAGAGGCTACACTCATTAGTAAGGTGAAATGCTGAGGGTAACATGAAGTGACGGCGCACCCTGAGCCCTCCGCCATGCTTCTTTCTGACACTAGTTGGCGCGTTTGCCTTTTCAATCGCTGTCAGCTCAGACAGGCTGAGGCACTCATTTCACATGTGTAGAGAAAATGAAACTTTTATCAGTGCTCAGAGATCTCTTAAATGTGAATTAATCTAAGCCAAATCTGTTATAAAGAATTCCCCTTGTGAGCTGATTAGCCTACGTATTTGAAAGAAGCTCCGCAGATATTTAATTTCGCGTACATTTGAGCTTTTGCCTTAAATCTGTTTTTATCGTTGAAAATGTAAAATATTATAAAACACTCGCATTTTTTCGTTTATGAATCGCTCATTGAAGCCACGTAATGTATTTGTTTTAACATGCCCGTCTCGAAATACAACATTTAGACAATTAATTGATTCGTGTCTTTTACTGTAAATGTTTAAGCATATTTTCAGACTTCGCTTAAAACACTTTATACAAGTTTACATTGTTTGTTTTAGTGTTCACTAACAGTTATTTATTGATTATAATAGTACAAATTATTCGAATAGATATTTAGGATATCATTGGTGAAGAAATTATTATTTTAATTATGGCATTCAAATAATAAAAATGACCATAACACACAATTAATATAACTAATGTTTTTAATTCATTAATGCAAACATAAAATTGACAGTAGAATAAATATTGAACAAGTATTTTGGATTTCGCGTTTTTAAACGCATCCAATCAAAACGGTTGATTTGATTTAATAACTGCGCAATGTATCCTTGTGTACGCGCGCCTCTGCGTGCGTGTGGCGGTTTTTAAGTTGTTTACTTGCATGAGAATAAATGAATTGCAGTTAAGTGGCGTGAGGAGTCATCGCAGTGGCTTCACATTTTTCCCTTAATTTTCCCCATCACACTAAATCAGACTCAGAGAGAGATGCAGATGGAAGATTTCAAAAGTTAAAACAAAAAACAAATGTCCAAAAAACTTAAAGCTTATTTTCACAATTCATTGTTTATGTGGGATCAAAGCTGGCCACAAACCTCACACTGTCAGTGCTGTGTCAATGCCTGCTCTAACACTTAAAGGGAAATATTAAATTATATTCATCTAAATTGAATTATCAGAGAAACTGCTGATAAAAATGTCTTCTATAAATCAAATTTAAATCAAGCATATAAGGTTGTCAATTTTGTAGTTTTATTTTCAATTCAAAACATATTTTTGAGTGTTTCTTCTGTGTCACAGAAATGTTAAGCTTGTAACACCTGACTCTCCTGCGGTTGCTTGTTATTCTGGACAGGGTTTCAGTGGGGTGGAGTGACATACACAAAGTTGTCTCTATATTAGTCACAAGAATTATACCCGCAATTAAGATAATAAAGCCATTACCATTCAGAGTCAATTCAGTGTGAGAACAGCAATTATCCTTTCAAGCCAGGGAAGTACCTTATGGCCCATTGCCCATGTGCTTCCATTTTTGGAATTTTAACTTGAACATGTAGGGAAACCCCAAATCACCAAGCCTAGTCCACTGTTGAACTCAAATCCCTCCATAAAGCAGCAGCAGCTTAAATCCCTACAGTCCTTACTGCCAAAATCACCTCAGATCAGATCCCCTATCATGCATGCCGCCTCTATTTTGAGTCCAGCTCTACTGGGACAATGACAATGCCGGTGATATTTTAGTCATCCTCCTGCCCGACTTCATTATTAATACGTGACCACAAACCCCAGCTATACCCTCCTCAGTCGTAATCTGTGCTCTGGGCGCCTGTCACATTTAGACCTCCACATTTCAACCTGCAGTTTCTTTGGTTTCAGCCGCACAGCCATTGAGGACGGAGCCCGCCGTGCTCCTGAACGATTTTTAATGATCCGGGTGGGTTGAGCCTGAAATCAAGATAGAACTCGTGGAGGATATGTGAAACCCCGAACGCACCTCAAATGGGCCTCAGCATAAAGGATTCTTACCAACGAAGGTTAAAAAGAAAATAGATCCTTCAGATATAAATCAAGATATCACATCATTGTTTACTGATGGTTGCTCTATGAACACTTGACAGGTTGGCCTTCAGCCCTCTGTGAAAGTCCTGAGTTATAACTTGAGTTCATAAGAAAAAAGCTTCCCTTTTATTAGAAAATGTTTGCAATCAAAACACCATAAAGACAAATGATTCGAAATGGGCCCCGAAGAAAATGTAGTTTTTCGCAGTTGTAGTTAAACTAATGCTTCCGTGGAGTCCTGACAAGAAACACGTCCTCCTCTGAGTATACAATCAAAGGAAACTCCATTTACTTTGGGTTTTATTTGTAATGAGTCACAGTGTAAAGACTAAAATGAGAATCAACCCATTAGAAACCAGTGCAAGCCTACGGGGTGTGTAAACGTATACCTGACTCTAAATGCCGCCCACACAACGTTCAGCCACACTTAAAAGTCACTTTGAAGACGGGGACATAGTCTCCAATACGTGGAGCTCCTTTTTAAACGTTTTTCATCTTTTTTTTTGCTGAATATGATCTATTAGCTTGTGTAAACTCCTCGGCTATTTTCAGCCATGCACACATAAGCCTTTCGATGGGTAGCTATTCATTTGGGAAAGGGGGCTATGGGGGCAATTAGAAATAGTTTGAGGTTGGGCGATGACATAAGACAAAGATTTCTATCTTTAGAGGAGCTGTGGCGGTCACACATTTCTGTACATTCACAAATTACAGGGCAAGCTTTGGCCCTCAACCCACCGAATGCATTCCTTCCGAAAAGTGTCTGCTCGGATTTCAGCCGGGGGTTTCTGCTCAGTGGAAATATGAGTGTTCTGAATGGACGACTTCTATGAAATGGAGTTTTATTCCTCTCGGATTAAATTAGCTCTACTTTGGGTCTCGGGGTATTTTTTTGTATGAATGATGAATTCTGTGGTGGCTGTGGAACGCCAGGCTTGTTTACCCTTCCCTCCTCTTTTTTTTTTTGGAGACGTAGCTCGCTATGAAATGTACTTTTTCTCCTTGATATGACAAGAGTGTCTGTGATTAGACATCCAAGCATGATGTAAGTCACCAAAGCCATTTGTGCCAGTCCCCTCAAAGCCAAATCATATTCTAGCGTTGGAGTGTTTATATACACAAGTATACGGAGAAACCTTTAAACAACAGTGAGTGGGTACAGACTGTTTGGGTTTTGGGCTCTCGCTGCTCTGATGGCTGATTCTCTCAAATTTTGATTACATAATGTGTCAGCACATCACAATTGGTGGTCATTTTTGTCCATTTTGATGTTCAGACAAGAAAATAGGAAACACATTGAAGAATTTT